TCGATTATTCAAGAAAATGGTTTTGATTTATTTTTCATATAAATTACATTCATATTCTTTTTTAGCAACCATAATATTTTATTAGGAACGAGTCTCGATTCACAAACCCTGATTTAATAAACTCGGTTGGTATTAGTTAGATTGTAATAATTGCTTTGATCATTGTATTGTAAAAACCACTCGAATAAAAATCTTCCCCATTTATATAGTCAACTTTATGCATATAGCACTTAATGGAAAATCAGTCAAACAACCCATAAGTAGCCGTTTACTTTGTGGCTTAACGGGTTTAATGGCTTAACCAGTTTATTTGGCACAATCATTAGGTGTTTATTTGCGGCTTAATTAAAAATGTATTAGCTTATTAACATAGCTTGGTAACCTCTCTTGTCCCCATTCAAACATAAAATTCAGGGGTTGTTTACCAAAAACTGTAAGCAAATGCTGACCTTGAGGTCTGTCAGAAGTAAGAGGTTTGACCAGAGTAAGTTCCGACTAAGAATTATTATTTACAAAATATTTTGTATTAAATGCTAATTATAATAACATGACCATTATAACCTCGAAAGTAAACAAGTGAAATAAGTTAGATTATCTTTACTCACAATATTTTACAACCCAATCTTAATTAAAATATTACTTTCTCTGTTATCTACCTATATAATCTTCAACTTCAAACCAATTTTACTTCTTTTATCATTTAATCATAATCTTCTTCGAGCCAATCCAATCTAATTTAAAATTTTATTTTATTGAAACTATATATTTAATTTATATATATAATTGTTAATTTTAAGTACAAATATAAGAATAGAATAAACGAGTCATTACATATTTTGAAACGTAAATATAATATATAAAACTTAACTTACCCATACAATTGAAATTAAATAAAACAAGTCACAAAAATAAGTAAGAAATTGGTGTAAAAATTGAAAGAAACGAAAAGTTTTTTTGAAATTTGCAAGATAACGAGATGATTGAAATGAAGATAAAGATTCGTGATGAAAATATGTCAATGTTTGACTCTATTTGTAGAGAATTGAAAACCATGAATTTTAATATATTTATTATTTTTTAAATTTCTTGTTAAAGTCATTTTTTTAGGGAAATTTATAAAAATAACCGTTTTACACAACCCTTTGCCACAAAATAACCACATTTTAGAGGTTTTGCCAAAATAACCACCCGGATCGCCCCCGGGGGCGATCTGTACATAATGGGGGCGATCCCCTTAAAAAAGTAAAAAAAAAAATCTCAAAAGTCGAGATTATTGTTCACCTCGTTGACCGTGTTTGACCTCGCCCGGGGGCGATCCGTACTATTCACGGGGGCGATCCGTACTGTTCACCCGTGAATTTTTTTTTATTTTATTTTATAAAATTGAAGTTGTATTTTTTAACTTTTTTAAAACCAAATTTCATGAAGAAAAGATTTAAAAATAAATCTTTATAATTATGGAGACGCAAAAATTAATTTTCATGGGAAATCAGATATAATATCTGATTGACGATATTTGACCTCTATTTTTATACAACAATTAAGGGGTGTTTTTAATAAAAATGGAAAAATACATAAAGTGTGTCTTTTTACATATTTAATTTTAAATTTCGCAATTAAAAAAAAAATTGATTTTTTTTTCATAACCTTTAACCGTACGTGATTTCATGTTTTGTGATGGTTGATTGTGTTTAGTGGGTTAAAGGTTATGATGGTTTATTGTATTTAGTAGGTTAAGGGTTGTGAGAGTAAAATATATGAGAAAAGAAATGGAAGGGAATGTGTGAAAAATTATGAATTAGGAGGTTGGTATTTATAGTGAAAAAAAAATCAAAATTTTTTTAATTGCGAAATTTAAAATTAAATATGTAAAAAGACACACTTTATGTATTTTTCCATTTTTATTAAAAACACCCTTAATTGTTGTATAAAAATAGAGGTCAAATATCGTCAATCAGATATTATATCTGATTTCCCATGAAAATTAATTTTTGCATCTCCATAATTATAAAGATTTATTTTCAAATATTTTCCTCATGAAATTTGGTTTTAAAAAAGTTAAAAAAATACAACTTTAATTTTAAAAAAAAAATTCGAAAAAAAATTCACGGGTGAACAGTACGGATCGCCCCCAGGCGAGGTCAAACACGGTCAACGAAGTGAACAGTAATCTCGACTTTTGAGATTGTTTTTTTTTACTTTTTTAAGGGGATCGCCCCCGGGGGTAATCCGGGTGGTTATTTTGGCAAAACCTCTAAAATGTGATTATTTTGTGGCAAAGGGTTGTGTAAAACGGTTATTTTTATAAATTTCCTATTTTTTTATCATATAAATTTTTAAAAATAGAAATTTAAGTTAACCAATCAAATAGTGACATGTGACATAAATATATAGGGATAAAAAATTTGCAATCGTGATTGGTGAGATGAAAGGGATCGGTATAGGTTGGTCAATTATTTTATTTTATTTCTTTAAAAAGTTTTGTTTTCTTATTCACGGTCGGATTATTCCGGAGCGTGAGTAAAGATAGTCTTATAGCATCTTCAACAATTACGTTATTTTAAAAAATTTACATCAAACTTCAGCAACTACTTCATTTTAATAATACAATTATTTAAATATTTTGTAGATGTAATAAAAATATTATTTCTATGTTATAAACACTTAAGGGTCGTTTATTAAACGTTTATCCTGTAAATGCTTACTGGATAATTTTCTTTACCGGATGGATATGACAAAGGTCAAAAATCGTATCTGGTAAGAACAATGATAAAAGATGAAAAATCGTAATCGGTAAGTGCGGATGATGACTCTTACCCGAATAAACACTTATCGGGTAAAATTGTTGCATACTATACAATTTTGATGTACTACAATCTTACCCGGTCAAATAAATTACAGTGTTGACTCCTAAGAGTAAACGCTTACCGGGTAAGCATTTAGGTAGACGGTCCCTTAATTTCAATGTCTGATATTGATGAGAAAAAATTAAATATTGTTTCTTTCTCCCAAATATGGAGTTTTAGAGATTTCTCAAATTTAAAGATTTTTTTACCATCTCCCTATTCTTTTCTCTATTTTAGTATACATTATAGCGTAGCTGTTAAAAAAAATAATACTATAAACCTTCAAAATCTTTATTTCAACATAGCTATTGAATATATTCTTAGAGATTTTTTCAAACTTGCAGATTTCTATCATCTTTTCTATATCTATACTATATATTACTATAAGAGTACTCGCACAATGCAGCGAGACACATCTCGATTTTAATGTTCTATTTTATTATTTGTCTATGTCGATGTTATAATA